ACAGGGGGGTGGGGGGCACGGATATACCAGCGAGGGAGAGGTAACAGGATAGGGAGGCTTTGGTGGGCGGTAACCTCCTCCTTCGCAGCTAGCCTTTGTGATTTTTGCAGCAGATGTTTACAAGGGTAAAAGAATTGAGATACAGACAAGGTTACTACATCATAAATTACTCAGTCATCACAAGATTTCAAAGAGGAAAAAAAAAAAAAAAAAAAACCTCAAAAGGGATTTGATTTGAGAGTGAAAACGCTTGCCATTGTGCAGAGGCAAAATATTCTCCTTTATTATAAGGTCCTCGTTCTTCACCCCCAGTGCAAAGGTGAGGAAGGTCACTGTTTTCCCCAGTACTCTCTGTGATCTGCTGGAACCTTCTCCTAGGATTACATCTCCCAAGCAGCCTTACAGGGACACAGAACACTCTTTGTCCTGCACTGACTGCACCAGGCACTGACATTCTAGAAAGGGGACTCCCTCCACTTCCAAAGAGAGCCTTCAGGGCCAACCCCAAGGCTCCCAACAGTCCTACTCTTTGTCAAAACAGGGCCACCCACAGATTTTAAGGGTAGAAGCAGCAAAGGAAGCTGTGAGGCTGGTCAGGCAACTTCAAGAACCCCAGAGACTTAACCACCAGCATTCCATCTGGACCCAGGAGTACCCAGAAGTAATAAGCCCTTGGATGTGGCATGGATCTTCAAGGCTGCCTTGCTCATCACAGCCTTGCTAGAACCAAGTCCTCCCTTTTACTCACCACCAATTTCACAGCCATGGGGAACTTGCCTTTGTAGGCTGAATTCCACAAGAAATATACTTCCCTCCAGTTGCAGCAAAACATGCAGCTGCTATTGCTCCAAGGTTGGAAACATACTTTACCATCTTGGCAAAAGCCTTCTGAGGGACACAGCAACGATTTTACAAAAGGGCTAAAAGATCCGTTTTTTTTGTTTTTGTTTTTGTTTTTTAAGAGTTTGAGAAGAACATACAAATCATTCCTCTGTCATGTCAAAAATGTACATGGTTTTATTAAAATAACTGAGTGCCGGCACATGGCTCAAACTAGGACCCAAGAGGGGACAAAAGGGACTTGGGGGAGCTTCCCCGATAGTTCAGAAAGAAACCCCAGCAGCAGCCATTCATTCAGTCCTTACAGCAGTCATGGCCTGTGTTCTGGGTGCCACTCCAGGGTGATGTCAACCCAGCCAGAGAGGTTCCAAGACAGTGGAGGACCTGGGTTCTTGGAGTTCCCAGGGAGGCCACAGACTGCCCAGCAGTCATGACATGAGTTATGCCTCCAAAGATAAGCAGGAGTCAGCAAGGGGAAAAAGGAGGCTTGGTCCTTCAGGCCTGAACCCCCAAATCTCCAAGCACATAATCAGATGTGGTTTTGAGGGACCATAATACAATGAGAAGCACAACTGTATACATCTACATCCAGACCACGAAGTGAAGAGAAGCTTTTCAATGAAACTGAACTCGTGATATGGACACATGCAGAGGTCAAGACAAGACACCCAGTGGAAATGGGATTCTGGAGGAATCCTGTAACGCTCTCACTGTACTTGCACATCTGGGCTTGATATGCCTGGAAAGGAAAGTGCAGGGTCTTTCAGCAAACGTGGGTGGAGGTGGACCATAAAAGACCTCAGAGGATGATCTCAGTTGGGATTTTACCTTGTGGACGTAGAGAAACCAATGGTGAGTTTTATACAGGGGAGTGACGGGATTAAATTTAAACAGAAAATAAGTGATAATTCATTGGTTGGTTTGATCTAATACAGTATCTGGTACATAGTTGGTAACAATAGCTATTAGATTGAGTCCTACACAATTGCTAATAGCCAACGGTTCTGATCTACAAAAATGATAATTTCTTGTGAGTCAGCCTAATATTTGTGATGTGATGCAATTAAGTGACAAACAGATGATGTCCATCATTTCAAAAGACACTAAAATAAAGATACTGGGCAGAATAAGAAAAGCAGGGGCTGTTCCCACCTGGCCGTGTCCTGGCTCTCCTCCCTCCCACCACGATGAACCCCTGCCCACGGCCTCAGGCCCCACCTCTGAGCACTGATGAACCCCAAGTACCCCCTCAGTCAGATCTCGCTGTTCAAATCCAGATCTGTGTTTCAACCATCTCCTTAACACTTCCACCTGGATTTCTCACAGGCTAAAGTCAAACCTCAGACTTGGGCCCAGCTCCAAATCAAAGCGGTTTCACTTCAGCCCAAATAACCACTGTCTATTCCGCTGGTAGCAAAACTGAGATCCTCTGTCTTTACCACCCATCATGCATGAAACACCTGAAATCCTCACTACCCCCTTCAATCCTCCCCATTCCACCTCCAATTCATCACTAAGTCATGTCAATATGGAGATCTCAGATTCACCCACTTTTCTTCATCTCTCCTAAATGACTGTGCACTTGGCTGCAAGTAATAGAAAAAAATGGTTTAAGTCAGAGAGGAGACACCATTGCTCAACACAGAAGTCTGGAGAGGCAGGCGACCCTGGATTGATTAGGTAGCCCAGTGATGGCATAGGGCTGGATGGGCAGATCTGTGGCCCTCCTGGCCTTTCCCTCATGGTCCCAAGACAGCTGCAGAAGCCCTAAGCACTATCCTCACACAGCAGCTTCCCGCAGGCCTTTGCTTAGATTTCCCTGGGCTAAGTGGGATTGCACAGCCACTGCTGCAAGGGAGACCAGGTAAGTGATTATCCAGGCAAAGGAATGGACTGTCGTGACTGGCTTCATCACCTGAGGGTGGGCACACAGCCCAGCAACGTAAAAGAGAGGGACATGGGCCGGGCACGGTGGCTCAAGCCTGTAATCCCAGCACTTTGGGAGGCCGAGACGGGCAGATCACAAGGTCAGGAGATCGAGGCCATCCTGGCTAACCCAGTGAAACCCCATCTCTACTAAAAACTACAAAAAAAACTAGCCGGGCATGGTGGCGGGCACCTGTAGTCCCAGCTACTCGGGAGGCTGAGGCAGGAGAATGGCGTGAACCCGGGAGGCGGAGCTTCCAGTGAGCTGAGATCCGGCCACTGCACTCCAGCCTGGGCGACAGAGCAAGACTCTATCTCAAAAAAAAAAAAACAAAAAACAAAAAAAAACAGAGGGACATGGCTGCTAAGTCCACAACTAGCAATACCTTCCACACCCACTGTTATCTCAGAACAACTGCTTTCATTCCTAACCTTGCTGCCACTGAAGTAAACATGGCCACGTCATTCTGCCCATAGCACTTTGATGATGAACCGCTACACTCAGATAAAATCCACGATTCCTTACAGAGTCCTCAAGGCCTTGCAGATACTGCCCTGCCTTATTTCTCACCACTTGGCCTCCTTCGTGTTCCTCAAATGCTCCAAACTCTTTCTTGCTTCAAGGTTTTCAGAAGGGGCCATCTCCTGACCTACATGCTCTTTCCTGAAATCTTTACATGGCTGACTCCTTCTCACAGTTCAGATCCTACTCTTGATGTTACCATCTCCGAAAGGCCTCAGAAGAGTCTACTCTGACACCATCCAGTGCCGTGACCTCTGCATTCAAGAAACCTGGCCCAGTTTATCACTGTATCTATTTGTATGACCAGTTATTTCATGCCTGTCACTTTGATTAGACTGAAGGCAGGAATCTCATCTGCTTTGCATATCACTATAACACTGGTACCATACTCAAAGCCTGACAGGTACAGATGCTCATGAACACTGCTGAATTCATTATTGATCAATTAGTGCATTAATGAACTAATTGAAAGAGGGACTGGACCGACGGGAAAAGGAAAACTCAAGGGTGAGAATGAGCAGGTACATTTAGGGGAGGCTGAGGACACAGACCCAGCCCAAGTGGACATGTGAGAGACCATGAGAGTGCTAAACAGACACAGGCAGGTGAGGGCATGAAATGTCAAATGCCACATTTGGCATGCTCTTGGAGAACTCTTATTCTCCACCCCTCGTGTTTCCATGCTGAGTGAGCTCTGCCACAGCAATGCTCTGCCTGGCAAGGGCAGGTGCCTTGTTTGTCCATTGGTCTGGGGGAAGGAGCTGGCCCGCTCACTAGCCCCCCAACCCCAGCTCTCCCTGCCTACCTGTGGGAGGATGGGGCCCTGTGGTGGGCTCACCACCCACAGTGGCACCTCCCCCTATGAGGGGGCCATTGCCCTGCGGCCCTGTCTGTGACAGTTGCAGAAGAGAAATTGGATAGTGCTTCCGTTAAATTTCAGGGAGCAAATTGGATCATTCTTAGGTGAAATATTCAGTGACATTTGGGCCTCCTTCTCCAATCAGTTTCTTTTTTTTTTCATTTTATTTTTATTAAGCACTACATAACACATTGATCCAATCAGTTTCCTTGGCAGTCATGCTCACAGACACTGTGACTACCACTGGCTCCAAGCTTGGGAGCGGAAGATGGTTCTTATGAAGACCCCAACAGAGTAGCTCACCATTCACACTGCAGGTGCTGAGAAGCCGATGCAGCTTGAAGTCCTGCACAACCCAACAGCTTAAAAATAGGACACAAAGATGGTTTCAGGCTATGAATCACTCTCCCTCCTAGGTAGCTCTCCCCACCCACTCCCCACACTGACAAAAGTGACCATCGACTGAGCTCCCAGGCCTGTTATCTTGTATCCTGCCCTGCAACTTTGACATGAAACATGAGTGTTGCTGATGCCTTCCCTTGCAAATTCTTGCCTTACAAATCTCTGCTGATGTCTTGGTCCATGGGACAATCACTCTTACTTCAGTGGCTTCTGTTCTATGATGTCCGGTGGTTCTGCGTATTGACCTGGATGCTCACTTCACATTCAGGAAGGCTTCTCTCTGGATTGAGCTAAACAGGACCCAGTCTCCTGGCTGCAGTCCAAACAATCCACCCTCTGTTGACCTCAAAGAATCATATGATGTACCAGAGGCAACCACTCAAAGGTCACATGATCTGTTGAAGATGCCGACACCCCTCCCCCTACAACAAAACACCCACAGAGCCTCAGGAGAACTAACTGCAAAGTTCCCTCTCCCTGACTAAATGCAAACATCTTCTTTTGAAGTGTAGACAGGAGAATGCACGGGCAACTCTCTTGCGATGGTGAAGTATTGAGCTCCAGTAAGCAGGTGGACACAGAGCCAAGATGAAAGGCCACAGCACCTTCCCCGACCAGCAGGAAATTGCCCCACCGCCACCTGAGATGATCAGTGCGGGGAAAGCCTGCCTGCGTTGGCCTCCCTCACAGCTGAGGATGCATCCACAGCACATCAACTAGCTCCAACTCACTCTGCCCCCACCACCAACTACCCAGCCCATGTTGAAGTCCTAGAAGCTTCCTGGCCAAGCTGCATGAGCATAACCAACACTGGGCACTTAAATGTAACCAGGAGCATATTAACTGAGATGACAACTCAGAGTAAGTGGTTTTCTCTGTTACTTTCTCCACAGTTTGGGCTTGGAGAGGAGCACAAACACATCACGAATGACACCCACGGTGCACCAAAGCCCCCCTTGCAGACACCTATCTTTGTGGTACCCTCAAAGAGAGCTCCACATTCTACAGAGCCTGTCAGATGAGCGTCCAGGGCTGAGGGCAGGCTAGACAGTAACAGATTCTTGTGTATAACTCTCTCCAGATGCTGGCTGGTACAGGGTTGGAGAAGTCATCCATGCCATAGACACACCAAATCTCACAGCAGGGAGGGATCTGAGGCCAGCAATGATGCAAGGAGACCAAGGGGTGGAGGAAATGGGGTTAGACTGGGATGGTCTGCAAATTGCAGTGGCATGATGGCCAAAAAATTCCTGAAAAGTCTAATTGTCCTGAGGCATCTTCATAACAGCCACCTTAGTCCTGACCACTGGGTTGAGATGGGAGTGACTGGTATTTAACTTTTTTTTTCAGGTTCAATCATTCAGCAAAAGCTTAGGAAGTACTGCATTTTGAATGAAAGTGTTTATTGTTTAAATGAAGGCACCAAATATAGTGGGTGACGACAATACTTTGAAGAAAGATAATTATAAAAATGAATTTAAACACACATGCACCTAGCTACGGAAACATATCTTAGCAGGAGAAGCAAAGTCCACTGTTGACATCAAACACCTCCTGACACAGGTGTCGGGAATGCCTGGGGACCCAATTAGGAGGCCATCACTCTGTCTCCCAGCAGCCAGGGGACAAGAACAGCCTACAGGAGAGGAGACAGAGGGATTAGCAATAAAGCAAGGTATGTCTTGGAAGGCAGCCACCCTTTCCACCCAGTGCTGAGAACTCTGTTGGCACCAAAAGGAATTGTGAAGTTGGCAACCCCATCAGAACACAGAGAGAGAACCTGTACATCCTGGGAGGGAGATAATCCAAAGCAGTCTTTAAAATAAATACTTCCATTGGGGATTTTAAGTACTTTGTATCTAGCAATGGTGTGCCTCATTATTTTCAGGACTGTGTTATGTTATGGCCTACGCTGCTTCAAATTCTGAACTCATGCCATTTGTCAAAGACAATAAAATACCAAAGGCATAACTACTTATCAGATAATCCAGTGAAAATTTTAATTCAGGCTTCAGTGTAATTCCTCTTGGCAATGACCCCTACAACTAACTCTCTGGCTAATTCTCATTTCATTAAAGACAATTCCCAGTGTGCATAAGCTTCTTATCTCATAAACCAGCCACTGAAACTCCACGGGCGATAATTGCCTTCCTACAGAAACAACCAGCACCTCTCATTTGCTGGCCTGACAGGGACCATGAATGGGGAAGAAAAGAATCCTGACCAGTTACTGATTGTGATCTGTTTCCTTCTCCACTGACCGCCTGTAATCAAATCATTTTTCTAAGTGTTACAGAGCTGGTCTGACTTGGGATAAAAACACCTTCACCCAAGCTGATGTCACACAATGTGTGATTTCCTGGTGTGTCCAAGGTTTCTTAGGGCAGGAGGGAGTCTGGAATCACCTACTTGGCTGGTCAGGGGCCGGTTTTTCTTGAACTCACTCAGTCTTGTCCAAAATGGTCTCGATGGTCTGTGGCCTCCTTCTGAGCTTTGGGTATGTATTTTCTGGCCTCAGATTCACCCCTGACTGTATTAGGTAATCTTACAGTCATCCCCAGGAGAAGAAAATGATGTGTAGTAATTCTTCATCCTTTTTCTTCCTTTTGAGCCCAATTTGGGCTGAGCACAAACAGAATAAATCTTGGCATCATTCTTAGTCTCCACATCTAATTCCTGAACCTTCATTTTACTTGTGAATTATACTTACTCTAGAACTTAATACAGTAACAAAAATGAATCAAGGTGACCTTGCCCCCACTTGAATTGTCTTAGGGTCAAGACCTGTTTTCCCTCAGCTGAAGTAATAAAGAAATTTACACTCACAATATGATAGGCAGAAAAATCGGGTTGGGCTGGGGATACCTGGCCAGAGGCAGCTTTAGATTTCATTACAAGCCTCAGAAAGAACTTTCCTCACCAGAGCCAGATTAACCCCGGCTAGCAGCAGAAGTCAAACCACCTGGGCAGGACACCGACACCTGCCTGCAGCATGGAGTCAGGGTGGGAGGTGGGCTCCCCCCTGCCAGCACCTTCCCAACTCCTCTCCTTCCCCTCAAGGCAGAGATGAGGTTCAAGTCCCGGGTATGGACCCAACATCCCTGGGCTCTGAAAGCCTGAACGAGATGAAAATAGTGCCAGACACGGAATGAACACTTGGTGTTCCCAGACTAACATCAAGTCATGCAGAGAGGTGACACATTCTCCCAGTAAATCCACTTTCTTTTAACGTGAAACACACTTGGGGGACGTGGACACCCAATCCGCTATTCCCTCCCCTCCTTTTGAGGGCAACAAAGGTCTCACCTTGGGCAGCCACAAAGGGCTCCGTTGGGAAGTGCAGGACACCAAGTCACCAGAACTGAAGCCTTCCTCTCTGTGTCAGTGGATAAGTTATGTGACCCCACTGAGCCTGTTTCCCGAATAGCAGGAGTGACTTGGCCATTTGGCCCATGCAGGACAGCCTGCCCAGGCCCTCCTCTCTCACTGCCTCCTCACAGTTCTTCGCACCGACACCATGGAATTTGCATCTTCAGGTCTCAGTTGGAGGCGGCGCAGATCGATTCCACTGCAGCGGGTCTCACAGGCAGAAGCCATCTCACACTCCATCCCAGAGGAGGAATGCTATGAATCTCCAAGGTCCACTGCCCAATTTCAGTTTTTAAAGGGAGAGTATTGAGGTATTCAATAAACATGGTTTGAATCTGAGGTTCCTCTACCTACTGCACAGATGAAAAAGGGTGTTAAACGGTACAGAAGAGGCCGGGCGCGGTGGCTCACACCTGTAATCCTAGTACTTTGGGAGGCCAAGGATGGTGGATCACCTGAGGTCAGGAGTTCCAGACTAGTCTGGCCAACATGGTGAAACCCTGTTTCTACTAAAAAGACAAAAAATTAGCCAGGCATGGGGATGGATGCCTGTAATCCCAGGTACTCAGGAGGCTGAGGCAGGAGAATCGCTTGAACCCGGGAGGCAGAGGTTACAGTAAGCCAAGATTGCGCTACGGCACTCCAGCCTGGGCAACAAGAGTGAAACTCCATCTCAAAAAAAAAAAAAAAAAGAACTCACTGGAAAGTGATATGTCACCCTTTTTTAAGATGGTGAACTGGAGTCATAAATGGAACTGGAAATTCCCTAGCAGTGTGTCCTGAGTCCTTTATCTCTCCAAACACCGTTACACGGTAGATGGGCAAGTTTTATTAGCTCAAAAAATATGTTTAGATGTTTTAATTAATGAAATCAGTTGTATTAATAAAATTCATTGCATCTCTCATGTGCAGTCGATGGAAACACAGTGGGGGCATGAAGATACTGGGTCTGTATTCCCACTACACAGGCAAAGGACAGAGAAATATGCAATGTCCAGTAATAACTGAGAACTAAATGGAGAGGCTGCTTCTGTCTCTCTGAGGAGACGCTCTTGAACAGAAACCTAAAGGGGGAAAGAGAGTGAGCTATGGAGATGTCAGGGGGAGAGCATGCCGGGCCCAGGAAGAATGGGTGCCAGGCTGGAGATGGAGGCAAGCTTGGCGAGGGAAGGAGGAGGCTGAGGCAGATGTGGCTGCCAGGGATGAGCAGGGGAGTGAGCACTAGGAAGGGAGGTGGGGAGGAGAACCCCGGGCCACATGTCCTGGGTGCCCCACTGGTCTGTCAATTCTATCTTAAGTGTCTTCAGAAGCCATTAGAAGATTTTGAGCAGGGAACCCACATGATCTGGTTTATGGTTTAAAAGTAACCCTCTGCCTGTCATGGAAGAAAAAACTGTTGAAGAGGAAGCTCCATGGCAGGGAGGACACCCAGCAGGCGAGGGCAGCACAGGCCTGGACCGTGGGGGGAATGGCCGGTGTGTTCAAAGAGGTCTGATCGAGATTCTATTTTAAAGGTAGAGTGGGCAGGCATTGCAGATGGATTAGAAGTGTGTATCGGGCACCTTCAGAAACAAAGACAGTACAACAGCCAGTCGACTACTAGAGAGAGCTAATAAAACTCACAGCCACCGTTTTCCATGAGGCAGACAGGCGCTGTGCCAAATGCTTTATGTTCATTCCACATTTGATCCCCAGGACACCGCCTGGCATGTGGTAGTCCAGTCCTGATGCCACCAATAAGAAAGATGAAGGACACGGGCCCACGGTCATGTACTGGGAAGGAGCAGAGCCAGCTGCCTCTACAAGCCCCTTCTTGCACTCTGTGACCTGTCTCCTTGGCCCCATCCATAATCCCTGCTTTTCCAATTCCCTCTGACTTTCCCACACAGGGTGTGCAAAGCTGGGTTTGGGGGAAAACGACTCCTTGGTCCAACACAGTTGACTGCCTTATTGCTTCCTCTTCCAGGATGAAAACCTCCTGGGGTTTCCACTTTATCTCAAAACTTATGTTTACCTTGGCATTCGCAGCTCTGTGGCAGAGAAACGCTGCAACCAGCCCGTAAGGCAGCCCCAGGGACTCCCTGATTGCTCCTCTGACTGCTGCCTCTCCGGGAAATCTTCCATTTAATCAGCAGCTGAGCCAGGGTGGAAAGGAAGGGGCCATCCCAGCTTCTCCCAAGGCGCCCCCTCCACAGCTTATGCACAGCTGTTTTGTCCTGTTTGATTTTGTAACCACGGGGTACAGGAGACAATAGAAAATATCTGGAATATTGTGCAACCAAACAAGAGAAAGGCAGTGGGAACATGAGGAAAGAAGCATGAATAAGCTGAATTGGCTTAAAAAGAAAAAACAAGGTATTATGTTCACGGAATAAAACCCCGGAATGCCACTGGAAGAGGGAAGAATGCTGGGCCATGCCTCCTGCTGCAGCAATTCGAGAACAAGAAGGCAGATGCAGGCCCACGATGAGACAGGATGCAGGAGGTGCTCAGGGGGAGAACTGGACGGGAGAAATAGCCTTCATCAAAAGCCGCTTCTATCAGCAGTGGTGTGACCAGGATTGAATGTGCTAGAAAAGCCATGCGTTGTGCTTGTTCTGGGAAGAAAGTCAGTAGGGCTGGTGGCGGGTGAGGGCCTGTGCAGTGCTAGCCCCCTGGTTACTCACACAGGTGCTGGGCACCTGGCTTTCCTGAGCATGCAAAGTTCCTCCCCAAACTGACCTCCCCTACAACCCCACACCATGCACACACATACAGCCAGCAGAGTTGAGCCCTCCCATCTCTGGTGTTGTCCATGCCCTCCTGTCTCAGGTGCTGCCCAGCAAGACTCAGATCAGTGGTTCTCAAAATTAAGCATGTGTCAGAATCTCCAGAAGGCTTGCTAAAGCACAGATGCTTGGCATCACCTCAGAGATTCTGACCCAGAAGGACCCCGAGGAAGCTGAGAATGTGCATTTCCCATACCTTCCCAGGTTTTGCTGATGCTGTGGTCTGGGATTACCCTTTGAGAACCATTTGCTTCGGGCAGCTCTCTTCCCAAACATCACCACAGAGGACTTCTAGGGCCCTCTCTGACATCAAAAGGCGCCAGGGGGCACTGAAACAAGAACAACAAAGCCAATGCTGACGGAGCATTTATTATGAGTTCTGGGCCCTTTACCTACACTACCTCATTCTATTACCTTCAATCTACAGATCAGGAAATGGAAACACGAGGACAAGTAATTGCCCAGGCTGTACTCTAGGTAGTAAACCTGGGATTTGAACCAGGCAGAGGCCAGGCTCAAAACCACAACTCCTTCTGCCTCTCTTACATACCAACATCAAGTTTATGGAAAAATCTGATGAGATGGCTGAACATTTGGGGCAAATCCGATTCCTTGCGTGACAGTCAGTACCCTAATGATCACAGATACCCACAGTCCCCAGTGATTGACTCAATTACCGTCTCTAATGTGGGTCAGATGCCAGAGTTGCACTGACTCAGAG